GACAGAGTCTCACTATGTCACCCTTGGTAGAGTGTCGTGGCATCACAGCTCACAGCAACCTCCAGATCCTGGGCTTAAGCGATTCTCTTGCCTCAGCCTCCCAAGCAGCTGGGACTACAGGCACTGGCCACAACACCCAGCTATTTTTTGTTGCGGTTGTCATTGTTGTCTAGCTGGCCAGGGCCAGGTTCAAACCCGTCAGCCTTGGTGTATGTGGCTGGCACCCTTCTCACTGAGCTATGAGCGCTAAGCCAGGACAGGGCATTCTTGATGGGGAGATGAGTTTAAACAAAGGCACAGAGGCAGAAATTGACCAGAAATATCAGGCCAACTGCATGGAAATTGGCCAAGCCGTGGTAGAGGGGAGTTTTAGCTGGCATGCACACTCATTTTGCTCTAACTCATCTGCAAACCCACATCCACACAGGCCCTATAATGCATCTAGCACTGTAGCCCCTAATTATAAAGGATCTTGGAACTTTCTGGGTTTTGTTTTTGTTATTTTTAGAGACAGGATTTTTTTTCTACTGCCCAGGCTAAAGAGCAATGGTGTGATCATAGCTCACTGCAAACTCAAATTCTTGGGCTCAAGCAATCTTCCTGCCTCAGTCTTCTGAGTAGCTGAGACTACAGGTGCTCACCATGAAGTCTTGGACTTTTTTTTTTTTGAGACAGAGTCCCATTATATTGCCCTCAGTAGAGTGCTATGGCATCACAGCTCATGGCAACCTCAAACTCTTGGGCTTGAGCAATTCTCTTGCCTCAGCCTCCCAAGTAGCTGGGACTACAGGTGCCCACCACAATGCCCGGCTATGTTTTGTTCTTGTTGTTGCCATTGTTGTTTTAGCTGGCCTGGGCTGGGTTCGAACCTGCCAGCCCTGGTATATGTGGCCAGCGCCTTAACCATGAGGTGCTTGGACCTTTTAAAAAGATAATTCATGTATATTTCTCACCCACTGAGAATATAAGCAATTAAGAGTTGGAAACTTCTCCCAGTTTTTTCTACCCACCATAAAATATATTTCCTCAAGAGCAAAAACCTTGGAAACGATATCAGTCAGAAAATACTGAAAGGTTTAGAGCAGAGGTGTGGCCTGCTCAAAGGATGAGCTAGAAGAGAGTCTGGAAACCATGGGTGATGGGGAGGGGGACAGAAAAACAGGAGCTGTGGAACTTTCTTTTTTTTTTTTCTTTTGAGACAGAGCCTCAAGCTGTCCCCCTGGGTAGAGTGCCGTAGCATTACAGCTCACAGCAACCTCCAACTCCTGGGCTCAAGCGAGTCTCCTGCCTC